ACTCTTTATCCTTACCCTTCTAGGAACTCTGTATTTTCTGGTTTGCAATTCTTCTATTTAAAAGGGTTTCCTTTCAAATGTGTCTTGTGAAATTACAACCTTTAACAATTAAGTTTCTGTCAGTTTGTTGATTTTTGTTATTATAGAAAAAGCATGATTAAAGTAAAAGCACAGTGTATTCTGGATCTAGAAATTGACTGACCTGGTTAGTTCCTACAGGGCATTTTTCTTATTTGATTACTGATGGACACTGGTTGGCACATTTTGGAGCCAAAATGATTCTCCAGGTGCACATTTTGGAGCCAAAATGATTCTCCGGGTACATAAAATCCTGGTACAAAAAGCCCTGCCTTGCTAAGTTCTTAACCCCAAGAAAGACATGGTGCACTCTAAAAATGTTACTAAGAAACCAGTCTATGTCCCAGCTTGCTAAGATATTCTGCATTTCTGCAGATACCATCACCTTCTCTGGGACTGCCAGTTGGCATGAAAACACATCTTATGGCTAAATATCCCACCATTCTGAAGTCTTTTTCAAGAATACCAGGACTTGGGGGAAATATATGTGAAAATATTTAATTACCAGATTCTAAGTTTAACTAGCACATACCAAACACAACCCCGGGCCCCTAGTTGAAAAATACTTGCTTTAATTGCCAATATCTCTCTTTACCTTTTAGAAACAGTGACATGGTTACTGCTGCATCTTTGAGGGATGAATTAGCCAGTTGGTGTTTCAGTGTCATTTGCTGTCTCTTCCTTTTCTCCTTCCCATCATTTGGACGTCTGACCATGTGTTTACCCTGATCAAACCCATCCATTCACTTCTATTCCTATTAAAAGTTCTGGGAAACATTGTGGAAGGAAAAAAAGTTAGAAACTAGAGCTATGGGTGCAAAGGAAGCTTTGGATTACCTGTGGATTTTGAACATCTCTTCCATTCCTGACCCCTCAACAGTGTGGATAATTTGGTATTTCGATATATGAATGAATAGCCACGAATGACTGATAAAAACACGTCTACTTTTCACGACACGGTTCCAGGAGCAGTTCGCTACAGGTCCCGTCTCTGCTGGTGCGCCAATCCCGAGCCCCACCGGAGTGCAGCCTTCTCAGCAGCTACTGTCCCTTTGCGTGGCCATGGGGGCATGAGGCAGGGAGCACGAGACACCTGGCAGAGTCACACAACCGCGCACACAAAATGGCAGAGAAAGAGCAAGAGCGAAAAAGATTCTGGTTTGGGCCCAAATCACTAGTTGCTTCACTTCGTGAATAAAAGCAAGTGCCTTATAAGCTCACGTTATTTACAATGCTTGGATTGTTCAAACATCCACCCAAAGCCGAGGACCACCACGCAACAGGGAACAATTCAATGAACTATGTACAGAATTTACAAGGAAGTTTACATAATATTCTACATTCCATTAACAAGTTCTCCTTTGTTTGCTTTCAGGAAACTAAGATATGTGTTCATTTTTCTGTTTTTCTCATCCCAGTAATTACTGATTGAACCAACACGAACAAATGCTGGTACATTCCTTTTTCCTCCCTCCTGGGATATAGGATTACCTTTTGTTTAGGAAAAAGAAGGGCGGGGGGCACATCACCCTTTGGTGAGATACTATTCAAAATTGTCCATGTAAGAAATCTTGGAGGTCGTTTCCTTCTAGCATTATAAATATATTTTGTTTGTTTGTTTCACTTGGCGAATTTCAATTGAGTTCTTTCATAAATGAATATTTAGAAAGGAGTCCTTGATTTTGGAAAGATGGAATTTAGTCAGCATTTCTGTGTATTGCACATAATGTTTGCTTAAGGAAAGCCTATCCTTGGATCCATAAACCAAACGTTATTCTCTGCACCACATTTTTCTCTTTGCATTTTCAGGATCTTTCATTGCTTGTAATGCATAATAAAGATGGCATATATGATGTGGGAACACATATCCTTTAGTCAGCAGAATCACCAATCCGTCTGCTGTTTCTGTTTGGCAATACAGAGGATGTAGGCAATAATCCTGGATAATTTAAGCCCAAAGTGTGTCTTTACCTGGGTCTGCCTCACAAAGCTGGTAAGTGTAACACACGTCACCTCTGATGTGTTAAGTCAAGGAACACGAGTGGGAAAAATGAGTGCGTAGTCATCATTGTCAAATGAAAGGTGGGGTTTCCGCTGGGTCTACACAGGTTACACCTATGACACAGCTTATGTCACCGTTCATGAGCTGTGGACACGGGGTCCCCTGGACAGGACTGTGGCCCAGGAGCGTGAGTCCACGCAGTCTTCTGCCTCTGTCGCCACTCAGGAATGCAGGAGATTATGGCTATTTTCATGGCAAAAAGAAAACCCAGGAAGAGCTAGATAGTAACCCCTCGATAATGTCCTGATCTGAGTCTTTCAGGAATGGGGACCAATGTGAGGGCACTTAGGAATGTCTAACAACTTTTAGGTCCATCATTTAGAGCAAGACAAAGGAGAGAGGCAGAGAAGGAAGGAATGTTTCCCAGGCGCCATTAAGCCTGGAGGGAGTGTGGGTGGGGGCCGAGGAGGAGGGGATTTGGCTGGGAGGTGTCCGGAAGAAGGAAGTGGGGACGGAGGTCATGAACCAGAAATATGTCAGCTTCTCCAGTTTTCAGGCTACCATTGCCTCTCAAATCAAAGCCACTGAATAGGATTTGCACCATCCTGTGGCTGTGACCCTTCTTCAGGCCGGGAGGACATACAGTGACACCATTTTGTGCCTGGTAGTAGATTCAGGCTTACTAATCTGTCATTTTACAAAGGTTAAGATAGAAGAATTCAAAATGTTCTCTTTTTCTCAGAGATGCTTTACCTCTAAATGACAAGCATCAAATTCCTTAGACTTTTAAGGCAAGATAAAAAAAAATAATAAAACTATAAATTACCTCAGTCTTTTCCAAGGAGAACGATCTAAACAGATGAATAAAGAAAAATTGTTTTGTTAAGGAGCATAGATTATAGATACTTCCTTTCTCATTCAGCATTTCATCCTTAAAAGCTTGTTAAAGAGCTTTGACACCAGAATGATTCATTCCTGTTAGGCAACAGCCAAGAGTCTCCCTTCCTGTGTTTAAATACACAATGGTTCCTGGATGGTCATTGGGAATATTAACCTCACAATCACCGGTATGGTCACATTTCATTCTATTTGGGCATTTCATGATGGCAAGGCATCTTTCCCTGCCAAGAACTGGTCAGTTGCAAAATGGATCCCTTCATCCCAGGAGGCTGGAGATTGTCTTGACCAGGGAACTGTGATTATGCAAACTGAAAACCTAAGTGCAAATTTGGTCCCCATACCCTACTAACTTCTTATGAAACCATTGAGTAAAAGCACAGTTTTTATATTCTTACTAGTGTATATTGTCTATAGCCATAACCATTCATTTATTTTGGGGTTCTCTTTTCTTCTTGCCCTCTAAAAAGAGTATCTCAAAGCTCTGTCCCCTTGGGGTCATCAGCAGGAATTTGGCCTTATCTTTCCAATTAAGACTATAGTTTCCAGCAGCTGATGCTATTGTAAACACGGACCCTCATTACAGCCTTTGGGAGAAAGCCAGATCATCAAATGATGCAATCATCCTTACTATTACCTCAACCCTTATTTGACATCCAGGGGTCAGATTCCAAAATTGCCTCCATCACTGGTTGGTCATTTTAGGGTTTCACTCAACCTTGCAAATGAACGTACAGAATTCTTAGCTACTTAGACTGAAAAAAATTAATGAGACTTTAATGACATAAAATGGGATAAACCTCAACTGTAGCTGGTTGGACACATTTAGAAGTGTGTGTTGGGCTACTGAGGGATGCCCCTTCGGTGACTCATGACCACAGTAACCCGTGAACAGAGATAAGGCAGAGCAGTGGTGACAATGATTCATGAGTGCAGACACGTTCTATGCTTTAGGGGCTGGTATACATGTTTGAAGGCCCAGTGATTCTGTCATTGTTGGTGTTATCTGTGGTTTTCCTATTTTGAAGTTTTTCTTTAAAATAGAAATCTGGCCTCAGAGGAGAATGACAGCAAAGTGGGTGTGTGTGCATTTCCTGAAGCATTCATCTCATACTTTGGAATGCCGAGCTCAGAGAGCAGAGCCCTATGGTGCTTGCTGAGGCCTGTCCAACAAGGCCTGTCACCATTAGGCGCTGCTCTCTGGAAGGCTAAGAAATATATACACTATTTGATTTAAGATTTGGCGGTTTAGGTAACTGCCCAGGCACCCTTTTCACAGCACATAAGACTTGCCTTCCTCATGGAAAGGGCAAGCTTTTTTTCAAGCAAAAAGTGCTCACCCTCCCATTATGGAAGCCCTCCTCTTCCCTTCTCTTCCCTCACTCTCTTTGGAGCAGGGCCTGGGGACAAGCGCAGGCCTAGCTTCAGGGCACAGAGGCAATGAAATGAGTTCAGGGCTGCTCATTTGAATAGTTAAAGAAATCACCATTGCCCCAGACTCCTTATTCTCAACAAGAGAAAGATGTTCTCAGTGGCCACCAGGATGGATTCTAGTTCTAGTTTTAAATCTGCTTGCAAGTCTGAGAAAGAAGCAGTTTTTTTTTTTGTTTGTTTTTTTCCAGACTACCCAGCTGAATGGTAAGGTGAAGATGCCAGATTTGTTTTGCACAACCTCCGTCAGCCCTTCTCAATCCCTCCCTCCTGTCCCGTGGAGCGGGGACCCCTTCTGCAAGGCAGTTTTGGGGACTTGAGGGTGGAGGGGAGTCTTCCTTCCTGGTCTAGGCTCCTTTTATCCCCCGCCCCCCTTCTTCCTGGAAATCTGTAACTTGTCAATGGCTTTGTTTTTTCTTCTGAGATCCTGGAAATTGTGTTGTTTTTTGGCAGCATGAAATTGTTACAGTTTACCAGGAAGCAGTGTGCGCAGAGAGCTAAGTCCTCTTCATTCTCATTTGAAAAATAAATCAATAAAATCCAGGGCAGGTAGGAAGGACTGCTAAAGATCTATCTATCTAACTTCTCTCTTTGTGTGTTGTGTGTGTGTGTGTGTGTGTGTTCTGTAAACATGGCAATTAATAGAGCTCTGAAAGAGCAGATAACCTGGACCACAGTAGACTGGAAAAAAAATAAGTTTTTTTTTTGGTGTGTGTGCGTGCGCGTTTGTGTGTGCGTTTGTGTGTTTTGTTTTTGGAAGTAAACATGGTGCAGTAATAAAATTGATATGCAACACCTAAAACCAATTGGATGGCTGAATCTCTTACCTCAAAAAACACAGCAGTATCGCTGCTGCTGGGGGGCGGGGCGGGCTGTGGGGTTAAGAATCAAGAGGAGAGTAGTCTACGAACCATTAGGACAGACCTTAGTGTACGTAGTAAAGCCAATAAACGACGTTAAAAAGAGAAAAGGTGATGGGGAAGAACATTCGGGACCACTTGTCTATGGAATTCACATCAGTCAAGTCGGGGATTTTGACTTTGAGCTGCGAGGCGCGCCGGCGGATGCGCCCCTTGCTGTGCGCGCCGTGTCGGTCCAGCGCGCGCCCGTAGCCCTCGCGGCTGCTTAGCGGCTTGCGGTACTGGATGCTGGCGCTGTCGTACGAGTACATGCTGGTGGCCTTGGGCTCGCTCACGCCCGTCAGCACTTCCGAGCCGCTCGTCTCGTTCCGGATTTCCAGGGTGCTGAGCAGAATGTTGCCGTGGGCGTCGACCTGACGAGAAAGGGATAGGCTCAGGCACAGCTGTCGGGACACTGGCTGTGTTCATTCACCTGTAGGCTGATGACACCGCACGCGGCTCATTAGAGACTGTCCCGCGGCACGTCCTGCTCTGCGGGCCTCCTGGACTTGAAGATGACCTGTCATCTATGTATCTCTCATCATTATTTACCTAATCTACCACCCATCTATCGAATCCATCACCTGTCTACGTCTGTTTCTCTGGCTCTCTCTCTAAAGCATCATCTGTCTATAACTGTCTCTATCTAATCCATCATCTATCTAATCTACTATCTACCTATTTAATCCCTCACCTATTTGTCTAACTAATCTACCATCTATCTCTCATCTGTCTAATCCTTCATTTATCTGCCTGCCACCCATGCAGTCTACTATGTATCTAATCTACCATCTAGTTATCTACCATTTATTTATTTATCATACATCTGTTTATCATCTGTCTAATCTACCATCAATCTGTTCATCCATACATCATTTATATGTATGTATACTTGTATATATATCATTTATAACTCTGGCAATTTTTCTTGTTTCAAAAGTGGCACATGGAAGTATGTAAAATTAGAAATAAACAGGAAACAAACAAAAAGAAGTAGAAATTTATAATTTCATCTTTAGAGTTCATTATTTTTTATTATTTTTAATATCCTGCCAGCCCTCCTGTCTTTTTTCTGTTTGTATGTACTTACAAGCACAGGTTCACCTGGTATATTTTGCTTAGCAATCTGCTTTGGTCAGTTAATAGTGTACCTGGTCCTATTACCATGGTAATAATTATTCCTCTGTGATATCATTTATTAACAGCTTATATGGATAAAGCATAATTGGGTTGACCAGTCTTTAGATGTTAAGGCTTGTTTTACTTTTGCATTGTTATATAAACAAGCCTGCAAGGGACATCTTTTAGCTAAATAAATCTTTGTGCATCTCCATAATTATTTCTTCAGGCTAAATTGCCAGAAGTGGGATTCAGGGGTCAAAAAGATATGCCTGGCTATGCTTTGACTTCTGTGTCCACCATTATTGATTGTTGCTTCCTGCCATTTGAGTGGTGCCTAGCCCAGATTTCCTGGGTTTTGTCTATGCTACGCCCACACACATTTACGGAACTACAGAAGATGTGAGCACATTTGACCTGCAGTGTGGCTTTGTTTAACTTCATGCTGATGCACTTTGCAAACTAATTTACCTTGAGGGGACGTGCTCATTCATGCAAATGAGTTTGAAGTACTTCCAATGGTAGCACAGGGCAGCGGTGTTTGAATCTAGTGTTATTAGCACAGTGCCTGAGTTACGTAAGTGCTCTATAAAGGCTTTCAGATGAAATGAATCTCAGTAAAGACTTTCGAATGCCAAAGGTATAGGAAAGCAGACGAAAGAAACGGGTGACCAAGAAAGACTGAATAAAGCGTAGGAGGAGGCAAAGACAGCAAAGAAAGGTAAAGAGAGTGGCGGGATATGATGCTAGTACATCCCTGATGAGAGAACGAAGATTTGAGCGTCCACCATGTGCCTAGCATCATGGTAGCTGCTTTGTATATATTCCTTGTTTATCACCTGCTACAGCCAACTGCCTCACGTTTTCTCCGCTGCTAGATCGGAGAGTACTACCCGTGTCTTGTCTGTTTCAAAGCTTACGTGCTCTTTACTGAGAAAGGACTGCTTCATAGCCCTTGGCCTTCATCACATCCCGCAGTGAATTTAATGATGCATTTGATAGCTTTAAGCTTAGAGGTAGTCGGAGAGAGAGATGGTGACTAAATCCGGCCTCTCCCTCTACTGGCATCTGTCATTTCCCTCTGGAAAGCGTGTGGCTCTAGCCTAATTGAGCTACCCATTATGCCCTCACCAGCACTTCTACTGGCTTCTTTATTCAGGGAGTTAATATTAATTTTTGTTGTTGTTAATACCTACTATTTGTTGAATCCTACTACATAATTTATCTCACTTATTTCTTATAACAACACTATGAAATATATAATATTATCCTAGTTCGGCAAGTAGCGAAATAGAGATTCAGAGAGCTTAAGTAAATGGCCTGCGATTAAACAAAGAAAAAGTGCTCGATTTGGGATTAAAATACAGGATATTATTTGCCTTAAATATAACTTTCCTTCCTGGGTTTTGCATGTTAATCAATATATTTTCTTTAAGGCTCAGTTGAAATCCTGCTTATGGTGCGTACCTGTGTACCTTCCCTGATTATAATAACTTCAAAAACCAACTTCGTCTCTCTCTCTTCCTGTCTCTCTCTCTGCAGATGATATTGAGTACTTACTATGTGCCAGGCACAGTGCTAGGTGTTTGGGAGGGGTGTGTGTGTATGTGTGTGCGCGCGTGCGCACGTGTGCGCACACGCGTGTATGGATGAAAAGTCATGCATACAAAAGTTTACATTATGAAAGAGGATGGTAGCATTGAAGTGAAAAGGAGCAAAGTTCTGAATTCATTAAAAAAGGGACAAATCCCTTAGGAGATAATCATGGTGCACATAATTCTGCTAGGTACTGTGGTGTTTCAGTGAAGAGTATCATAAAACATGGATTTTGTCGTTGAGATAATAATCTCCTTAGAGAGGGGTGCCTGGGTGGCTCAGTTGGTTAAGAGACTGCCTTCGGCTCAGGTCATGATCCTGGAGTCCCTGGATCGAGTCCCGCATTGGGCTCCCTGCTCAGTGAGGAGCCTGTTTCTCCTTCTAACCCTCCCCCCTCTCATGTACTCTTTCTCTCTCTCTCATTCTCGCTCTCTCAAATAAACAAATAAATCTTTAAAGAAAATAATCTCCTTAGAGATACAGGAGTAAGATATAATTTGGGGAGTGACAAGAGTTTTTAACCAAATGCTAAATGGCACAGCATAGACCATGATTAGGGATTTGTGAAAGTCTGGGGGTCAAGGAAAGCTTCATGAAGGAGGGGTGGCTTGTCCTAGGCCTTAAAGGATGGGTAAAAGAACTAAGGATTGAGAGTTGAAAACTGTGTTCTCACCCTGGTTTTGTTATTAAATCTATTTCTTCATCTATGAATAAAAGGTTTTCACTAGGTAATCTCAAGGGTTTATTTCTGATTTTTGACAGTCTTTACTATGAATAATATTCTAGGCAGAGGACACAGCATACTAAAAACAAAAACAAAACAAAACAAAAAACCTTGGAAAAGTGAATCACTTACCTGTACTGTATGCATCATTAAGTTACATTATTGTGAAATCTCCCTAAGTAAACAAGTTACTAGAATTTAGAATCAGCCAGTGAAGCATACAGATGCTCCTCATTACACAGAAGTCACGCAAAAGGGACATTTTATTAAGATATTTTGGTTAACTTTGGTTCAGACTCCAATGCACCAATAAATTGCATGATGTTTATTAGTTTGTGCAAATCCCTCAAAATATTTTGTCATTGAGCTAGACATCATAGCTCTAAGTGGTTTGACATATAAAATAATGAATCTGGTTCTACAACTACTCATGAAAGCTGATTGCATTACTGTGTAGTTGAATCAACATTACCGTGTTCTTTATCAGGAAAATCTAAGAAGTGTCATATAACAGTTATGACCCATCTTCAGTCTGTCTCCTCCACACAGTCTAAAACTTCTAAAAGCTAGTGTTACAGATTGTGCGTGTACATGTGTGTGCATGTTTGTGAGACGGTGTGCTTGTGTGTGCATTTCTCCTGAAGCATGAGTTTTCATCCCCCACCTTCTAAGCTTTTTGCTGCCTCCTAAAGTGAATGCGCCAGCAAGTTTCTGGTTGGCTCTGCCTGAACCTCTGCCCTTTGGAGAAGAGTGTTGTTGCTCAATCATATAAAAACACCCAAGGTATCCTTATATCCACGGGGAAAGTGGTCATTGTTTTCTTACGCCCTCAGAAGCAGTGAGGCACCAGGTGGTAGATCACCTCAACATCTGCAGTGGTTAAATGCTGCCTCGTCAATAAGGGATTAAATGACCAACATCTGGGCATGATCCAGACATCAAAGATTACATAACCTTGAAGCAGAAGGAAGTGAGGCAAATGAAAATGTCAACACACTTGATTTCTAGGGCAGACAAATAGATTTCCTAAAGCATTGCTAATGTTGAAATAACTGTTCATTTGGATAATCATTGCCCACTCCTTATGTCGCCATAAAGGAAGGGACTCTCCACTCCAGTCCCTGGGAGAGAAACAAAACTAAGGGATCGATGCTTCCAGCTTTTCCCTTTCTCCTCTCCCACTGCTCCCCACTGGGTATATGTGGGAGAAGGACACAGGCATACTTGGCTCCATGTCTTCTGGTTATTTTTCTCCTTCCAATCTGCTTACAGAGAAGGTGCAACCCAGTTAGGGATGTGCCTGTTGAACCTGCTGGGTTGGTGAGTAAGGCCTGCACTTGTTCCGTGGTTCCCATGATTGGGGAGATAAATCTAAATGGGGGGGGGTGAATGATTACATTATATTAACTATGTATTCTTGAAACCAACATCACTGACTTTCTTTTTTTAAGTTTAGAGCACCATTAAACCTAAATTTAGAGCAAATGAATACAGTTTTTATTAAGACTTCATTCAGGAGGGTTGACAAATAAGCCCTCTTTCTTCCCCTTCAGATAGATGATCAAAATGTAAGCTTGAGCTGACTAACACCAGGGAGCAGAGAGTATGGCTTTAGACGTGCAGCCCCAAGGCTAATTGTTCATCCTCACCTCACTCCCTATTAGAGAGGCATATTTTATGTGCTATAAGAGGTAATTTTTAGGCATAACATGGATAAACATTTAAAATGTTAAATCGTTCATTCCTCACTCATTTTTTTCAGTAAATGTTTACTGAGAGCTTACTGTGTGTCAGGCACTGTTCCAGACACTGATGAGGAAATCAGCCCCTCCATTAGTATAGGACATCACGTCTCACATTTTAGAAATTCAAAGATCTCAAGTAATAAAGCCCTTTACTTTTACACTCTCCTGAACAAACCCTGGGACCTCCTCC